TTTTAAAAAATAGCCCTGTAATATAGCTAATGGCTATCACCAATCAGTTGGATCTTAATCTGTATTCTTGGTGATACTATCTTAAATAAAAGCTTCAGTGCAATAAATTTAAGGAACCAAAATAACTAAAAACCTATTTGGCAAGTTCCAAGCTAGAAGGTAATATAATCTTCAATAGTGCTACAAAAAGACTAAATTTGGAACTGGGGACCAAGACTAAAGAACTGAGTGACTAGGTTTTTAAGTGGGAGACATATTAGCCAAACTGCCAGATCACTAACTAGAGGAAAAGAACATGTGCTCTAGAAGCATATACTAAAGAAAAGGTGATTATAAGACACCTAAAGCCTGGGCAGACCAACTCTTTCAGATTGCTGGCTGGAAGTAAAAGAGAGACCAGTAAAGAATTCAAAAAAAAAAGAAAGTTTGAATATAGATACTGGGATTGTGTAAACCCACAAGAGCAAGAAGTAAGTAACCAAAAACTAACTAGAAAGGTTGTGGCTTGAGATATGGACTAGATTACAGCAGTATTCTAAAGAGTAACTTGAGATACAAACCCGGTAACAGCAGCACAACAGGTATAAGTTAAAAAAAGATTACCAAACATGCAGGTAAATATATATGTAGGACATATACTGCTCTATTAGATTTATTTCATGGATAAATTAGTTCTAGGGTGGCTAGTAATATAGTGGTGTTGCAAAAATCTACATATAGAATAGATAAATTATACCCATATTAGGTAGAATAGATAGTATGTTGTGATTAGAAAGTTTAAATAGATAACTCTATAGTTGGGTTGCAAGTATAGCAGATAGTGTAAAACTTTTAGGCAGACTACTTAAATTAGGTACCAAAAGTGTATGTGTAGCTTAATATACTTTCATTATAATGTATAATGCTTATACCTATTTAATAAAAACTCACCAACTCAAGAAATCACCTTAACATTTAAAAAAAAATAAATAAAATACTCAAAAGCTAGAAGCCTATAATAGAGATATACTAGTAATTTTGTTAGAAAAATATAATAAAAATTAAGAAAAAACAAATTAGTAGCAGTAGAAAGTCATAAAATAACACAATTTTTGGCTTAACAAATAATATAAATTTGAATGATAATAAAGAAATAGAAGACTAGTTAGATTATAAAAGTAAAACTAAGCCTATAAAAGAATATATATAGTGAGAACAACAACTTTAATAAATAGTTAAAAGAATATAGAGAATAATTAATAATATTAATATATCAAAACTAGATAAGGTAAGATATATTTTAGTAATTCATTATATTTGGCTCTTTTAATATAATATACCTAAAATAGAAGCAATCCAAACTGTAGCAAAAATTTATAATAGTAGTAAGTATTATGCTAGTTGTATATGTATGTGGGCCAGAACATATTTAGAAGAAAAAGAATTATCTCTATTACAATATAGAAAATATCTATTGAAATTATTTCTTTATAATAAGTATATTTTGTTAAGAGTTGCAGGCTATTTATAATCAACAAAATTTGAAGTGACTTTATCACTACTTAAAAAATTCTTTGAGACAAAAATTCTTTCTAAACTCTATATTAATAAAGCCCAGACTATTTCTTTGTGTGCTGCACAATATTGGTTAAAAAAAATAAGATTTACTTATAAGTAGTATAAAATATATATATATATAAATAGTTATAAAAGAAAGAATATTGTTGAATATTGCCAAAAGTTTTTACAAAAAATGAAGAAGTATAACAAATTAATGCTAAAGCGGTTAGATGCTAACTATGAAATTTGTAAAAAGCCACATCTTTACTAGAGGAGAAAAAACATATTTTAGTTACTTATGATAAGTATATTTTTTATTCTTATGATAGTATTAATTAATTTTGGGTACTGGAAGAAGAATAGCTATTAAGAAAAAAAGGTCTTGGCCTGGGGCTTCATGTTAATAAGTTCCTTACTAAAAAAATTAGAAGGTTAAAAGATGAAAAAGAGAAGGCACAGGTAATAATGCAACTAGATTCAAACTATAATAGAGAAAAATTATTGTTATAGGTAGGGCTGTAAACTTATATTATAACCTATATTATAACTTATATAATTCTAAAAATTTTAATTAGGTAAACATATAAAAATTGCTTATAAGTTACATTAAAAATTTGAAATTTAATGTAAATTAATAACCATAATTACAAACAAAAAATGTTTAACAAACCTATCCTGGATATGCTAGAGTATAAGCATTTGACAATATGACTAGTCATACTGCAATGGCACCTAATACACTAGTTGGTTCCAGAATAAATTTATATCCTGGTGGCAAACAACCAAAAATGAGGGATACTATTTGGAATGGTGAAACACAAATGATGATATACTCTAATAACTATGAAAAACTTTCTTTATGATCACAACCAAAAAGAATAAAAGCTTTTCTTGAAGATAGAAATCTTTGGAGAGATGGATTGTTAGCTAATTATGAGGAATATAAAACTAATAAACAAGATCCTGGTATAATCAATTGTTGTGCACATTGTATTGTTGCAAATCAACCAGACTTCTTGGCTGAACATGAATTAATTCAACAGGAGATAGAAAAACATAGTCATAAGGTAATTATGTTTGTAAAGATATATTTCAATCAATTAGCTAATATAAATTTACCACAGGTAATATTTTATCCAAAGTTCTACCCGGAGCTTAACTATAGCGAAATGTATTGGGGAGCAGCAAAGAAGCGTACACAAGAAACTTGTGATTACACAATTAAAGGACTAAAAAAGCAAGTACCAATCGCCCTTGATTCAATCCCAGTTGAACAAATTAGAAAGTATGCAAGGCTTTCTTATCGGTGGATGGATGCATATAGAAAAGGGCTCAAGGGAAAAGCAGCCGAATATGCAGTTAAAAAGCATAAACGTCACTGTTCAATTAATGATTATATCTAAATATACATTGCCAAATTTTATTTTATATTACCTGGTTAAAGGCTTATAATAAATTGCATTTATTCAGTTATATAACTCAGTATAAAATTTCATAAAATATGGTTTAATAAAAAAAATATAAAATTGCGCATTACTTGCTTTCAATCTTTAAGTGCTCACTTACGTGCAATTCAACTACATCGTCATACATTCGTATCACATGCATTTATGTACATGAACAAAAAAAAAGATGAAAAAAATTAGTTAGTTACCTACTTTTATATTAAATTACTTGAGAATTCTTTTAACATACTTGAGTATATATCGATTCTTCGAATTACTTTTAATACTTGAATATCAATTAATAGTTATAACTAGCCAATCACGAAAAGGAGGTACTGTATTTTTATTGGCCAATATACGATGCACGTGGGTTACACTAAGGTAGAAAATTGGCGCGTTTAATAGTAAGTATCTGTATCTATATTTGGACGTTTCCTCCTGTTTGATTTTGATTTTTTCTAAATTTCACGTTACACGTGATCTTAGAATTTAATTGGTGCTACGCAGAGTGGTTAATCATTCCGAGGATATTATTTTGGAGCGACTCCAAAAGTCGAGCCTTTATTAAAGTTCGGTTCCAAGTCGGACTTGGAGCTTGACTCGTATTTCACGTGCATTTTGAACATTTAAATAACAAAAAAAAGTATTTCATGCATATTTTGCATACGCATCATTTTTTTAGTGCTAAATTTAATATACAAGTTGCACATGAAATGCAAAAGTCTGACTTGGGACTCGACTTTTTGGAGTCGACTCAAAGATCGACTCGGACCGAACTTTAGCAGTTAGTTGAGTGCAACTATATGAGCTATATGGTACGTACTTAAATTTAATTCGGACGATTCAACTCATAAGACATGTTGGGAATGTACTAAGGCCGTATTATGAAATAAGGCCACGCCAAGTTAAAACTATGTTTAACATAAAATCCCCCTTTTTGAGCCACAGATAGAGAGGGTAAATAACATCGCTTAATATAATCATATTAGCTGATCAAAAAAAAAAATTTTTTTTAGACAATCAAAAGTTCATGTTTTTTTTATCCCCGTTTAGAGTTGCAGATCATTTATTAGTGTTATGTTAAACATAGGATCAGATTGGAATAGCCTAACCACTTCATTAAAAGTACATACAGTCAACTCCCTCTAAGTGCACGTCCTCTAAGTTTAAATGCAATAAAATAGACTTGGCCCAAGTTGGAACTTATAAAATAAATGCAAGTTCTTTATTCTGTAAGTGCAAGATTTTTTTATCCAGCATATATAAAATTATTTTCTCTAATTGAAAGATATTTTATTAACCAATTAAATTGATTTATTTAATTAAAGGTTTTTTTCTAAGTGTAAGATATTTTTTTTAACTTATAAACTTGCATTTAGAGAGAATTAATTATATATTAATTTAGTTTTCTTTAATTGCAAGTTCTCTCTAAATGCAAGATATTTTGCTGGCCCGTTGACTTGCACTTAGAGAGAGTTGACTGTATTATCGTTATTATCGTCTATGGTTTAATAGATCGTATAGTAAATTCTAGAAAAAAATCTAAAATTGGGGATCACTAGCATACAAAGCACAATGATCAACAAAACGTTGCAAAAATGTCCAAGTCATCCAATAAAATCGTTCCACATATATAATTTCTTTTTTGTATAACCAATCATCCATTGACAAGATTCTTTTTTTTATCTGATAAAAAATAGACAAAATATAAATAAATATAAACGGATCATTTGGTTTTTTCTCCACGAAATTAAATTTTTTTTTTTACTTTTTAAATAACCAATTCGTTTATCATAGTATACATAATATTCATTAACCAAAGATGAAGTCCAAATTTTGGCTTCTATTAATTTTATCATGTCTAATTGCCTGTTTTATAGGCTTTCCTTTATTAAAAGTTTCTGCCCAAGATGCTAAATCCGAACCATCGAAAGATGCCAGCAATAATGAAAGACCCTTTATTACTCAAGAACCAGATGGTTTTGCAATTAACCCAGAAAATGACTTAAATAATGATAGTAAATCTAATTTTGGTTTTACAAAAGAACAAACCGAGAAACTTAAAGAAACTGAAGAAAAGTTTGAATTTCAGGTATTCTTTTATACAATAACGTTCGGATTTTAAAAACCGGTTTTATGTTGTGTATCTTAAAAAACCTTACCGATCAAATTATATTATGCAGACCGAAGTTAGTCGATTGATGAAACTTATTATTAATTCGTTGTACAAAACACGTGAAATATTTCTTAGAGAACTTATTTCTAATGGTAAATAATTAACTTTTATCACTATTAATATTACAGTACTATTGTTGTTAATTATCATAAATTCTTTTAATTTAATTAATTAATTAAAAATTATTATTATTTTTTTTATACTATTTAGCTTCTGATGCAATTGATAAAATAAGATTTCTTTCTCTTACCGATCCTAATGCATTAAAAGCAAATCCACATTTAAATATTACAATATGGACAGATCCTGTTAATAAAATATTAACAATTACTGATAGTGGTGTAGGAATGACACGTCAACAACTTAAAGAAAATTTAGGAACAATAGCAAAATCTGGTACATCGGAATTTTTAAATGCTTTAGAAGATAAAAAAGCTGATATGAATTTAATTGGTCAATTTGGTGTTGGTTTTTATTCGGTATTTTTAGTAGCTGATAAAGTTATTGTTACTACAAAACATAATGATGATGATCAATATATTTGGGAATCTCAAGCTATTAATGATTTTACTATTGCTAAAGATCCTAGAGGAAATACTTTAGGTCGTGGTACTCAAATTAAATTACATTTTAAAGATGATGCTGTTACATTTCTTGAAGATGATTCTATACGTAACCTTATTTTAAAATATTCCGAATTTATTAACTTTCCTATTTGGTTATGGACAAAAAGAACTGAAACTATCTCTATTGATGATGCTGATGAGATCGATTCTGATGATGCAAAGCCTGATTCTGATGAACCAAAAATTGAAGATGCTCCTGATGATGATAAAAAATCTGATGTTAAAACAAAAACGATTGAAGTACCTGGTTGGGAACTTATGAATACTCAAAAACCTATTTGGACTCGTGAGCCAAAAAATGTTACTGATATAGAATACGAAAACTTTTATATGTCTTTCTCAAAGGATAGCAACCCTCCTCTTGCATACACTCACTTCAAGGTATATATATATATATATATACATATATATATATAATACATTTATTTATTCACAGTATTTTTATTTACAGTAAATAACTATGTTAATTGATTTAATTTCTTATTATAGGCCGAAGGTGAAGTTGATTTCAAAGCTATTGTATATATTCCATCTAGAGCTCCTGATAACTTATTTCAAAAAGTTCAAGATTTTGCTCGTAACATTAAACTTTTTGTTAAACGAGTATTCATCACTGATGAATTTTTGGATTTCATTCCAAAATATTTAGCTTTTATAAAAGCTATAATTGATGCTGATGATTTACCTTTAAATGTTAGTAGAGAAACTTTACAACAACATAGAGCTCTTCAATTAATTAAAAAACGAATTATCAAAAAAACTTTAGATTTAATTGCTGATTTAAAAAATGATGATGTTAAATATAATAAATTCCTTAAAGAATTTGGTACAAGTTTAAAAGTTGGTGCTATAGAAGATAATGAAAATAGAAAGAAAATCGCTCATTTATTAAAATTCCCAAGTTCTTATAAAGGTTCTAATTGGACTACTATAGATGATTATATTAGTAGAATGAAAAAAGATCAAGATAAAATGTATTTTGTTACTGGTTCTTCCGTAGAAGAAGTTGAAAAATCTCCTTTTATTGAAGGATTTGTGGCAAGAGGTTATGAAGTTTTATATATGGTTGAACCTATTGATGAAATGTTAGTTCAACATATGCCAGGTCATGGTGGTAAAATGTTTCAAAATATCGCAAAGGGTAATATAGATATTGATAAAAGTAGTTTTGAAGACAAGGCTCAATTAAAATTCAAGTTTGCAAAATTAACTGAATGGATGCAAACTATACTTACTGATCAAGTCGAAAAAAGTTTGTATATATTTTATTTTCTTTATTTTCTTAATTATTTAATAATAACTGTTTTTAATATTATTGTTTGTTACTTTATATGAATTTTATTAGTTATAATATCAGATCGTCTTGTTACATCTCCCTGTGCTGTCGTTGCGAGTGAATGGGGTTGGACTGGTCATATGGAAAAAATAATGGCCGGTAATTAATTATTCCTTCTATTTCTACAGCAACCAACTCACTTTTATTTTTTAACTAATAAATTTATTATTTTAAAATTTAGCACAACCGTTTAAACAAGAAAATGAATTCATGAGAGAATTTTATGCAAAACAAAAGAAAATTCTAGAAATTAATCCACATCACCCACTTATGCTTGGGTTATTGGATAAAGTTGAAAAAGACCAAACAGATGAAAATATAAATGAATTAGTCCATGTTTTATATGAATCTACTTTAATTAGATCCGGTTATGTGTTGAAAGATAATTTAAAGTATGTCATTATAATGAAATTTTTACTTTTTGTGTCTTATTGTTATATCGTTATAACTTATAAATTTAAAATTTTCTTTATTAGATACTCGGATAAGGTTGAAAGAATCTTAAGGAAGAACTTGGGTATAGATCTTAATGCCAAACCTGAAATTAATATTGTACCAGCTGAAGACGCTGATCCTACTGAAAAAAAGAGTTCGGAATCAAAGGAAGAAAATGATTTGTTTAAAGAATTGGATCAAGATGATTCTTCAGATCCAACTAAGCCTTCATTTCCTCATGATGAACTTTGAAAAACTAATCTAAAGCAGTAAAATCAATAAAGTATGGTTTAGTTCATATTGGATAGGTTATTAGACGTGATACAATCATGTATCTTGAATATTAGTTTTATGTGCTGTAATGTTATTTGGTAGTTTGATGTAATCTTGTAATGAAATTTTTTAAATGTTAAATATTTTAAATAAAGGTTTATTCCTTGATATTAACCATAATACATTTTTTATGTTTAATTAATGAATAATTAACCAAAAATATTTCAGTGAAAACGAAAAATGCTCTGAAATGATGGCTGATTTTAATAATTTATTTCATTTTAATAATAGTCATTTTAATTTCTATTCATCCTTTTTTAGTTTCAATTTTTAAATATAAATTTTTAGAGTTGTTCAAATTAAAAATTTACTGGTCAACGGTTTGGTTTATCGCTATTAAATAATTTAGTACATATATATAAAATATTACTAGGGATGTCCATTGCCGGTTACTGTTAGACGTTTAGTCAAATTTAGAATTTAGAATTAATTGTCTAAATGTCTAAATGGGGTATTTCGACTAAACATTAGTCAAAGACAGTAAAATTCCCTGATTAAAAATTTAATGTTAACGCTTTAAAAAAACTCGTTCATAATTGTGAAACGCAATTTTACCCGATTTGCGTTTTTGTCCCTACTTGCTTA